CTTCGTCTGATATACTTTGGACATGTTGCCAGGAGGGACGGGTCCTTGGAGAGGGACATCATGCTTGGGAGGGTGGAGGGACAACGCAGGAGGGGAAGACCCTCTATGAAATGGATTGATTCTGTTACTGGGGTCATCAGGATGGGTGTGTCAGAGGCAGTGCTGTTGGCGCAGGATATAGCAGGGTTTAGGGCTGTTGTGCATAGGGTTGCTATGAGTCGCAAACGACTTGACAGCACATAACAACAACCAGGAAAAGGCTAGTTAATTTCAACTGCCAAATGTAGCCTTTTAATTAGCAGTGTTGGGTGCTATAGACTATACCACCAGAGTTACAATATAATTTTTAATTTCTTTGCCTTTTATTTTAAAAGCACCTTTTGATAAAATTGTACTGAAGCAGAGAGAACTCATGATGATTAACATTTGATACACTAATATCTTGAAGTAATAACATCTTTTTTCTCTTTCTGTCTTTAGAGGAGTAGCTGATTTTCAGCTTTCTTTGGAGTCTTTATTGGAAAATAATAATGACCACTTGAGGCCAGATATTCATGATCAAGCCACGAGACTAGCAGCAAAGGTATCTTATTACTATTAAGGTTTTTTGATATTAAAATAAACTTATTCTTATAAAGAAATAAATAATCTACATGCTATCTAAACTGTAATTATGAATTTAATAGTGTCTCTTTGTTTAAAGTAATTTGTAAAAATATAACAAATAGCTCTGTTTTAGCTTGAAACCAAGTTTCTCCATGGAGACAGGACTTTGGAAACTCTGTCTCAACATATTTTGGGCATGTGGCTAGAAGGTACCAGTCCTTGGAGAAGGGTGTGGAGGGACAGCACAGGAGGGGATGATTCCAGATGAGATGAATTGACACAGACTGGGGCAATGGTGGTTAGTGTATCAGAGTCAGTGAGACAGGCTCAGGATAGTACAGGCTTCACAGCTGTTATACATAAGGTCGCTATGGGTCGCAACTGACTTGACAGTACATATTGGCCACAATTTAGATTTCATTTTAGCACTAGGTTACATTTTTTTAAAAGTGTGATTCTATAACAGAGATATCATCTCACCCCAGCAACAATAGCAAAGTTCAACAGAGCAACAAACAATAAATTCTGGCAAGATTGTGGTGAGTTTGGAACCCTTATTTACTTCTGGTGGGAATGTAAAATAGTATAACCACTATGGAAGGTTGCCTAGCACTTTCTTTAGAAGTTAGAAATAGAAGTAGCATTTAACCCAGCAGCTCCACTACTGGGAATATACCCTAAAGAAACCAGAGGTACAACTCAAATATATTTATGTGCACCCATATTTAAGCTGTGTTACTCATAATAGTATAGAGATGGAAGCAACCCAAGTGCCCATCAACAAACGAATGGATAGAGAACTATGGTTTAGTCACATCATGATATACTGTGTAGCACTGAAAAATGATGAATTCGTAAAACATTACACAACATGGATGACCCTGGAGGACATTATGATAAGTGGAATGTTTCAGTCTCAAAAAGGAAAAATACTGCATTGTTATGAAGCAGGACTGACGTGGGGTTGGGAGGAGAATAAGAAACGAATAGATAAAGAACACTGCATTGGAATAGATGAAGGAAAGAACTGTTTAAAAGGAATATATGGTTAGGCATTATATATAAGACAGTGGGTCAGAATAAGAAGTACATTGCAAAGAAGACTGGAGAAGGGAGGGGAAAGAGGGGAGGTAGGAAATCAATGAATATTTTTTTAAAAAAAGAAAGTGAACTGAGGAAGGGAAGAAAATGTGTAACAATGAATAAATGAAAATCCAACTTTCCTGTATACTTGTTAACATTACAAATAAAAACTTTTCAAAAATGTGGTTTTAAGAAGATGAACATTAAAATAGAAGAAATAATTATATAAGTAGAATCATCATTGAAAAGCAGAAGTGGTTAGATTATTTAACACATTTTAATTTATCGGATGGGCTTGACAGATAAAAGAATTGACAAGATTTTATAAAATGATGGCATTAAATTGTTAATGTTACAAAAAAAAATGCAAATATTTGGTAAGATTATTGATTAAACTTATTACGTGTAATGTCTGAACACTCTAAGGAATTGGAACGGTGAATATCATTATTTTAGAACAAGATTGAAGTGCTCTGTGGCTGCCATGTAAAGAACTGATTATCCCCAAACAACTCCCACCCAGGACTTTGCTGATATTGAAGGACCTTGGCAAGCCTGATGATACCTGGGTCATGAGAGTTCAGTACTAGCTCTGTTTTGGGGATACTTTCCTTCAGCTAATAATCTGCAATGCTCACTAGGCCTGCACACCCGCAGTTACATCCACTTGTTCACTGAGAAAAGAGTATTAAAATTTCTAGTATTCTTCTGTAACACATCTGAAGTGTCACTGCAAGAGGCTGTGTGAAGACCTGGTTTTCCACAGAGAATCATTCCATCCAGAAGGATGCTGCTGACATGAAAGAACTTGACAAACCTGATGATGCCTTTGACTCTGAGACAGGCCCTGGTCCAGGTGCCACCACTGGCAAAGGCAAAGGACCCCCTACTTCCTGAACTAGATCATTTTCCTAAAGTAGAACTCTCCAGCCCTCAAGCTGCCTGGCAACTTTTCAGATGCTTTCAGTACCAGGTGCTATTTGGCCCCACGAGACCTTGAGGCAACTTGGGGGGAAAAAGTTTCAAGCGGCTGCAGCCAGAGGTTCACAGAAAAGAGCGGATCTTGGAGCTCCTCACGTTGGAGCAATTCCTGACCATCTTGCCTGGGGAGATCCAGATGTGGGTATACACACAGCATCCTAGCAGTGAAGAGGAGGCTGTGAGTCTAGTGAAGAGCCTGGAGGCTGTGACAGTGAATCAGTAGCCAGGTTCTGGGACAGTAAGGATTGCCTGAGAAGATAGAAACTGTAAGCTGTCAAATGAGAGAAGCAGAGGCCTTTCTTTAAGTCATGCCTCAGGAGGTGGGACTTCAAAATTCAACCTTAGGGCCTGAGGAGCAACTGAGCCACACAATCAGAGAAGAATCTGACACTGAGCCAGAATTTTTGATGACTGCTCTCCAGCTTTTTGCCCAACTTGTGGAAAGGCTGATTGGTAACCAGGACTCTGAAGGTTCACTTTTCCATGCAGCATCATCTCAGGAGCAGTGGAAACACCTGGATTCTACTTAGAAGGAACACTACTGGAACCTCCTGCTGGAGACTATGGCCTCAGGTTGTGAAACTGGAAGGAGGTGGAAGGACTAGGAATTCTTAGGTGATATTTTCATTCTCGTGCCAGAAACCTTAAAAATTGGCTTTTCTAGCCATTATGTTATCTGCCACTGGGGGAACATTTGCCTGTTACGTCAGCTGTGGACGCAGGCTCAAAAATCATGAGTCTACAGTCTGCAACTATGAGATCAGGAAGAGAGTGCTTTCCAGACTAAGCAAAGGTGGGAAGGGGTGGAAGGTGGAGAGAGAGGATAAAGAGTCTGGGCAAGGTATAACCTGAGCATCCTTGAAATGGAGCACAGTTAAAGGTTTTGTTTCAGGATGACTGAAGGAAAACTGACTTACAACTGTTCATAGATAAAGTTTAGTAGATGATTGACGAAACCAGAGGTGTGTTTGTGCTGTGGGACTGAACCAGATCTTTGACTTGTTCACTGAGAATCTGTCCTGAACTAACTGAGGAATTGTGTCCTGATGATACTCTGGCTTGGGACTGCTGGACTGAACCTGGATTTGCTTTGTGTAATATTTTTTCCTCTTCCACTCCCCAACCTATTTCCCTATCAAAAACCCGAGAACTGTCGAAGAAGGGGGTGAAAAAAAGAAAGAAAAAGACTGATAAAGAGCATTGGAATCAGAATAAAAAATTGACTGCAAAAATCACCCATTATTTTTATCAGTTCAATACCATCTCAGGAACAGGTTTGAGGCCTTGAACGCTAATGAGCAAAGACCAGGTGAACTGTGGGAGAATATCAAGAATATCATCCAGAAAGAATGCAAAAGGTCATTGCAAAGACAGAGAAGTAAGAAAAGACCAAGATGGATGTCAGAAGAGACTGAATATTGCATTAGAGAGCTGAGAAGCCAAGGCAAAGAGAAGAAACCAAACCAAAATATTAAGGAATTGGACAGAAGATTCCAAAGGGCAGTGTGGAAAGACAAAGTAAAGTATTACTATGAAATGTGCAAAGAGCTGGAGTCAGAAAATCAAAGGGGCCAAGCTGGATCATTATTTCTTAGCTCAAGGAACTGAAGAACAAATTCAAACCTTGAGTTGCAATACTTAAGAATGCTTTGGGCAGAATATTAAAAGAACCAGGAACCAGTAAAAGAAAGAGTATAGAGTCTTATACCAAAAGAAATTGATGGGCACAGAAGAATTTCATGTAACAGTATATGAGCAAGAAGAGCCTGTGGTGATGAAGAAAGACATTCAAGCTGCTCTGAAAGAATTGGCAAAAAACAAGGCCCCAGGAATTGATGGAATAACAACGTATTTCGACAAACAGATGCTGCCCTGGATGTGCTCACCAACTTGTTCCAAGAAATCTGGAGGACATCCACCTGGCCTACTGACTAGAAGAGATCTATATTTGTCCCATTCGAAAGAAATGTGACCCGACAGAACATGAAAAGTATTGAAAAATATTGCAATCATATGCAAGCAAGATTCTGCTGAAGATTATCTAAAAACAACTGTAACAGCGCATTAACAGAGAACTGCCAGAAGTGCAGGCTGTGTTTATAAGAGGCCATGGTACTAGAGATAGCTAATGTCAGATGGATCTTGGCTAAAACCAGAGAGTACCAGAGGAATGTCTTATTTGTGCTTCATTGACTAGGCAAAGGCATTTGACTTTGTGGATCACAACAAACTGTGACTGAATCTGAGCAGAATGGGAATCCCAGAACACTTGACTGCTTAAGTGAAATGTGTACTTGAACCAGGAGGCAATTCTCAGAACAGAGCAAGGAAACACTGCATAGTTCAAAATTGGGAGGGGTGTACACCAGGGATGTGTCCTACTCCATACCTTTTTAATTTATATGCTAAACAAATTATCCAGGAGGCTGGCTCTATGAGGAGAAATGTGGCGTTAGGTTTGGACGAAGAGTCATCAACAATCTGCGTTATGTAGATGAGATAACCCTGTTTTCTGAGGGTGAGGAGCAACTGAAGTGCCTGCCCCAGAAGGTCAAGGACTGCAGCCTTCAATGTGGATTGAAGCTTAACATCAAGAAAACAAAGATTCTCACCACTGGGTTGATTGGCAAGCATGATAGATAGTGAAGAGATGAAGATTGTTAACAGCTTTAGTTTGCTTGACTTCATAATCAACACCCTTGATACCAGCAGACAGAAAATAAAAGACAAATTGCATTGGGAAAGTCTGCTGTCAGAGACCTCTCCAAAGTAATGAATAGTAATGATGTCAGTCTGGAGACTAAGGTGCACCTGATACAGGCCATAAATTTTGCAATTACTCGCTATGCATAGAAAAGCTGGACAATGACTAGGGATGATAGAAAGAGAATTGATGACTTTGAGCTATAGTGC